GTCAATGGTACAATGGAAGACACAGTTGCAGGTCAATGGTGAGAGACTGGGAGAGGTCAATATCAAGAGAGGAATATATCAAGGAGATTCATTATCACCACTACTACTAATGGCTGTCCAGTCTCTTCTTTAAAACTTCCAGTGTTGGAGCATTCACAACTTCTGGAGGCAGGTTGTTCCACTGATTAATTGTTCTAACAGTCAGGAAATTTCTCCTTAATTCTAGGTTGCTTCTCTCTCTGATTAGTTTCCATCCGTTGCTTCTTGCCCTGCCTTCAGGAGCTTTGGAGAATAGCTTGACCCTTCTTTCTTTGTGACAACCCTGAGATATTGGAGCACTGCTATCATGTCACCCCTCTTCCTTCTCGTCATTAAACTAGACATTTCAGCAACTGTTTCTTACATATTTTAGCCTCCAGTCCCCTAATCTTTGTTGCTCTTCTCTGTACTCTTTCTAGAGTCTCAGCATCTTTTTTACATCGTGGTGACCAAAACTGGATGCAGTATTCCAAGAATGACCTTACCAAGGCATTGTAAAGTGGTATTAACACTCTTGATCTATCCCTCTGTTAATGCAGCCTAGCACTGTGTTGGCTTTTTTGGCAGCTGCAGCAAAATTTTCCTTACTCTGCTTCCAGGTTTTATGATGACTGATTGTAAAGCAACTTTGGCTATATTTAGTCCTTGTGTTTGCACTTTGGAAAGTGTTCTGTATGTACTGTCTCTGTTCACTTATTTCTTCTTCCCTCTCAGTCTACTTTTTCTTTTGTATTACTGTTATTAGACTGTTAAGTCCAAAAGATTCTTTAATTTTTTATGGGGTTGGGGTTTAAACAGTAGAATAAAATATATTTAAGACATACTACTACTACTACTACTACTACTACTACTACTACTACTACTACTACTACTACTACTACTATATTACTACTACTTTGGCTGTAGATCAGTTACTTCTGACCCAAGATTGGACAACTTCATGGCTGAAATTAAGATCTATGCATGATTCTAGTGAATAAATCTGCTAATTTTCCGCCCTCTAAATAAATATTGACAAAAGTGACTCAGTGTGAAAGTAAATACAATTTACTTTCACACTGCGTCATATTTATAACATAAAAATAGTTATCCATGAAACAGTTGTATTAAAAAAATAGATAGCTTTAATCAATTGCTTATGCTTACAAATATCTTACAACAAAAATATATACTACATGCATTTTTATATCATTGTACTCCACTTTTTTATATATATGAAAAATATGGGAAAATATGAACTAGATGAAAACATCTAGGGGGGAAGGGTTAAGCAGCAACCTGTATGCTTTCTGCTAACAATTTCACTTATCTAAATTATGATTTTAAAAAAACGTAAATACATTTAGAATCCGATAAATCCAATACAGTAGGCTTGTTTCAAGAAAGGCTATTTTAAAAAAGCAAACAGGAAATAGTATTTCAGGGAATTCATTCAGAATAATTGTTCCTAACTCTTTATTTGTTAAATCATTTTAAATACTAACCATAACTTTTAATACTATTTTATAAAGCTACAGTATTATAAAAAAAAAGCTGCGTGTTTCCAGTAAACATATATATTTGAGATATGCAGGCCATACAGAATTACAATTGAGCTGTTTTCAGTTGGGCAAAAGTAGCAAAATGTAATGTATATAAAACTGGATAATAGAAGGAATGGTGCGTGCCCATTTTTCAGTTATTTTAATTATTAGAATGAAAGTCTCTGTAGATTATATCTGTGCATTGCTCAGATGCTGCACATTTTGTTAAAATTTGATCAGGCTCCTTTAATTTTAATCTTTAGTCTATGCTGCACGCAATTTCGCTGCATGCAATTTAATTTAATTTAATTCTGCTGCATGCAATTTCTGGTGCCTATAGCTAACAGTGAGTGCTTGAAGTTTAGTATGTTTAATTTGCTAAATTTATTTCTTTTTTTAGAGGTCAGGCTAGTTGAATGATCTAGAGCAGGGGTGTCAAACCGGTGGCCCGAAGGCTGGATGCATAGGCTATGCCCACCACAGCTCTGCAAAGACAAAAATGTTGCGATATGTCATGTGACTTGATTGAGTTTGACACCCATGGTCAACAGCTTTACAAAAGAATTAAAAACCTCCCCTTTCACAATGCTGTAATCTCTTAATCAATCAATCAATCAATCAGTCAGTCAATCAATCAATCGGTCTTTGGTCCTTAACATAGCATAGAGTGTAAATGCAAGTGGCAGGAATAGTGTCTCATGCTATTATCTAGTGTGCTCCCTAGTCCACCTCAGTTTAGATTATTTATAAATTCAAAAAAAAATGGAATTTATCATTATTCACAATAAAATTCCAGCCTCAGGCATTCCCTTCATTTTCAAATTATGTTTTTCAGCCCCAGGTAGAGAATGTGGCTACCTCGATAGTTATTGTTATTAGTGTATGATGAGAACACGACAGAAGGGAAATAAACATATACACACAATCCATGTAATTATATACAAAACTTCTATGGAAGTTTGGCAATGGCCTCACAACTGGATGTCCAATCCAGCTATCCAATCGCCTCTGACACTGCTTCTTGCCAATCTTCCAGGGAACTGGAAAATACACGTTGCGGGCAATCTTGCACAATATCTTTAATAGTTTGCATTATCAGCACCACAATCACAACAAGGGACATCTTTCTATCCCCACTGATACAGGGCAGAGGCACTTCTTCCAGTATCACACTAATTTTGTTCAATTTTTTCCAGACAAGAGTGAGGCAGGTCAAAACCAAATGGTCAGGCTACAAGAAGGTACCTTGGCCCATTCCTCTCTCCAGGCGTTCTTGGAGTTAAACTGGGTAGATATTAAGTGAATAGTTGTTTTCCATGCTGGCCTATGGGATTTCAGTTTATTTATTGTTCAGCATCCTTGACCGCAGCCAAATGAGTTTGTTGTCTTCTAATGTGGGACGGCACGATTATTGCTAAGTATGGTAACTAGTGCACAGGAGTGGGATGCAATGTGTCAAGAGATGATACACATTGTCTCGTGCAGTTGGACATCAACCATTTGGGTGTAGTTTCTATTAGGCTACATGCTGGCACATTATTCAGCTGTGAAATAAACCAAAGCCAAGGCTGTCTATGGAGAGTCTCAGTCATCCGGGTCATGGTTGTCCCAAAGGTGTTTTTTCAAGAGGCAACTGGACTTTCTTGTTTTTGTTTGAAGACGTTTCACTTCTCATCCAAAAAGCTTTTTCAGTTCTGAAAAATTTTCTTGGGTGAGAAGCAAAAGAAGCTTCTTGGATGAGAAGTGAAATGTCTTCAAAGACAGACAAGAAATCCAGTTGTCTCTTGAAAAAGCACCTTTGAGACAAAGTGAAGGCTGTTGTTCGTAGGGTGTTAGCATCAGCAGGATGTTTCTCCCCGTCTGTTCAGTAAATTGTTGCAGCTTTTCAATTTTGCAACTGTTTTTTTCTAGGTACCTGAACAATACCCCAGTATGAAAGTGTGTCCTCTTACTCTGAAAATATAAACAGAATAAACTGTTACCTTATATAAGTCATTCATGGATTCTAGAAGTGGTGGTAAAGAACAGCCTCACCATTTCACTTGCTAATAAATAGACATTCTGTTATTAGTGACCACTCATAAACCAACTTTTTAACCTAACAAAATTACAATGTAGGAAATTACAATGTAGGTGACTGGCTTCAGATGGTTGAGGAACTCAGCTTAAGACTAAGGCATTATTTTAGTCTTTGAGTATAAATTCAACAAAATAAACTAAAGCATGAACCAGCCATACAGAATTGAAAAAACTGAAACAAGTATATTTATGGTTCATAGAGAAAATGCAAACTAGAGTTTCATTAATGTGTATTTATTTTACATATTTTGTGCTCATTTTGCTAAAATCTTTATCTTGAGTCTTACAATTAAAAAATCAGTATCACATTTTTTGGGGAAAATGCATCTTAAATTAAAATTATTTTGCAAAATAAATTACACTAAATAAATTACAAATGAAATTATTTTAAAGCACACAAACTCCACAGAATCATAAAGTTGCCAAGCTCATTTAGATCATGGTGTCCATCTCAGTGCAGGATTTCAAAGTAATAGACCCCCAGCTTCTGTTTAAAGGAGAGTTCAAACTTACTAGGTCCCTTGGTAATTGACTTTTTCAATGAATTGCCCTTAATATAATAGAAAATTATCTCACCATTTAACAGGAATTCGAATTCCTGTAACTTTGATCATTTATTTCATGTCTTGATTCTGATACGTAGATCTTGATATTCTGTGTAACATCCTTCAGGTACTTCAAAAGTACCACTGAATTTGCTCCAACCTACCAACCCACCCTTAATATATTTTCTTCTCTCCATTTCCATCTCACCTCTTAAGGCTTATTTTCCAATTTTCTGAGTATCTTTGCTACATTTTTCTATATCTCTTCCATGTTTTCTAAATTTGTCTGACACCTGGGCACAAGGGGTACTCAAAATGGAATCTGGCCAACACAGAATATACTGACCAATTTTTTTCTTGAACTGAAAAGTACATTTCTAGAGTTGCAACATGAAATTACATTTGTCTTTTTAGCAACTGTATCACATTGCTAATGCATGTTGAGCTTCTGCTCAATTACAATTTGAACTTCATATAAATCTATATTATATAGCAGCCATTTATTTTTGGAAACAATTTTAAAATGTAAAGAAGTAAATAGAAGTACAGTGGTACCTCAGTACTCATTGTTAATTGGTTCCGGGAGGTATGATGAGTACTAAAAATGACGAGTGCCAAAGAAACCATGTGACTTATTTATTTATTTATGAGACTTATATACCGCTTTAAGTGCAAGCACTCTCTAAGCGATGTACACCAGTAAGCAATGTGTGTATATATATATATATATATATATATATATATATATATATATATATATATATATATATTTACATTGCCCCCAACAATCTTGGTCCTCATTTTACCTACCTCGGAAGGATAGAAGGCTGAGTCAACCTTGAGCCAATGAGATTTGAACCGCTGACCTGCTGAACACAGTCAGCTAAAGTGGCCTGCAGTACTGCACTCTAACTGCTGTGCCACCTCGGCTCTTTTTACCAACTGACTCTTTGTTTCAGCCAAGAAGGACTTCCTGTCTGTCCCTTTTTCTATATCAGTGATCTTCCCAGCATGACCGACTTTCTGTCTGCTCTATGTAGCCGCTCCCCTCTTCCTTTTGCAGCAAACCTCTCAGCACGGCTGACTTCCTATCCTGTTATTCTCCCCCTTTTCCCATTGCAGTGCATCGAGTACCAAACAAACGAGTACCAAGACATTTTCATGTCAAAATGCATTGAATACCAAATTCAATGAGTTTTGAAGCAGTCAACTACCAAGGTACCATTGTAGTCCTCAACTTATAACCATTTGTCTAGCAACTGTTCAAAGGGGTTTCAAAAGTGACTAACATCTGGTCTTCACACTTAAGACAATTGCAGCATCCCCATGGTCACATGATCATGATTTGAGAACTTGGCAACTGGTATGTATTTAACAACAGTTGCGATATCCCAAGGTTATATGATTACCATTTGTGACCTTCCCAGCCAGTTTCTGACAAGCAAAGTCAGTGGGGGAAACCAGACTCATATAACAACCCTGGCAACAGTCATAAAATCAGGAACAGTCATGTGATGACTCATGTAATGATGGACGTTCCAGTCCAGTAGCTCTGTTCAGGATATGTAATTAACATGAAGTTTATTTAGCCTGCTTTTACTAATATCATCTATTATAAGCAGTACATAAAGTTTTGTTCTCCAATGAACAGTCAACAGATTCCTGGTTCAATTAACAAAGGCTAGAAGTGCTACATGATTATACAAAAAAATGTGTCTGAATTTTGGATGCTAAATATTCCATATTTTCTAATATTTTTATACAGAATTAAGGAAAGCAAATTAAGTCTTAAATTTTCATCTTTCTGCCTGTAAGATAATAGTGCTGGATCTATAAAGCACAGCTTTTAATTTTTAAATAAAATCCAAATTCTTTCACTTTCCCTTCCTATCTAACAGTTGTGAAGATAATAGCCAATAGCCATTACTATCATGTTATTCAAAGAGAAACTGACTTTTAAAAGTGCTTGATAATCCTAAACAAATAACAATATGCTTATTAGATTTAATACTCTTCATACATTTCATTCATTCTTTAAAATATGGGGCTATGATTTAAATAAAATGGAGGGTTAGCTGGTGCAAAATCATATATATGCAATATACATAAGTATTATATAATCTATAATCATAAATGTATAAAATTTTATATAATTCTTTAATGTTACATAATTTATACATAATACATAAGGTCCAAGTGACATATTTTATTCTAAGCCTCTGTACCATAACAATAATTAAATTAATTTATTGTGTTCATTTGAAAAATGATTCTATAGTGCACCTAGTATTGCCTGACTTGGCTTTTTTGGATGTTGATTGGGGAATTATTGTTCCAGATCTGAAAAGAAAAAAAAACATATATTACTAATTAAACAGCCACAGCAACAAAATGTTTAACATTAATATATTCTAAATATTCAAATAAACATTCTATTAACACTCACTCAGAGCTTACCTTTTTGTTCCTGCTGAAAAATATGTATTATATTGTCCTCTATCCACAGTTTCTGGAAAAAAATTACTTAATTTTTTAAATTGAAAGCAAAAATGTATTCCAGTAGAATTATAATTAACAAATGGGATTTAACAAAAACATCTACTATTATTTTCTTCTCCTCCATTGAAACTGGCATTCTATAGACTTTTCTATAGCCATCTTGTTCTTGCCCCCTATTTATATGATTTTTGCTTGGGAAGGAAAAATAAATATTTGCTCTTTTAACAATTATGCAGATAGTCTATACTTCCAATGACAAGTGACAAATGAGTTATACTACAGACTGTTGCATAGCTCCTGCATAATCTGTGTATAACAAGAACCCAGCAATGTTTATTTGTCCTGCATTTAAAAACTAATTTGTTACAATTTACAAAATACCTTTTATTTATCTACAGAAACATCAGCCTCTTTCTACACAAAATGGAGAAATAGTCAACTCCTTTATAGAAACCTCATATAAATTTGCATTCTGCACTTCATTTAACATTCCAAAAAGATGACTTTAAAGTGTTTTATTTAAATGATTGGTAAAATACTCACCATTATCTGAATTTTCTGTCAACTGCTTGATAATGCCTTTGTTTAAACAAACATCCACGTGCCTGTTGAACAATGTGAGATCCTTTGTTTTTTGTTCTATGTTGCAAACTGGACAAACAAAAATATTTTCAGTAATGCCAGAAAAACTTTGTAAATTGCTTCCTGAGCAATTTGACTCTTTTTTATCTATTAACAAGGTTCCGGAAGACAAATCATCCTTAGCATGCATTTCAGATACCGAAGCATTAGGAAAGCCACATCCATTCTCATTCTGTTTATGAACTAAGTGCTTAGGTAAAACATCTTTGCTACTTGCAGAAGCACAATCAACTATATTTGTTGACTGTTCATTCACGGGTGGTTTACTTATTTTAACTTTTATCTCTTCTTTTTTTCCCATATCCACAGGAGGATCATTTTTCCATGATTTGCTATTATCAGTAATTTTTGCATTTTCTTTTTCTATTGTTCCACTAAGGCACATATCAATATGCCTATTAAATGCTTCTAAAGTGCTATCCTGCTGCTCTTCAAAGCAAATAGGGCAAATAAAGATCTGATGTTCATCATCCTTTATTCGTTCTCCTGAAGTTATTGTTGACATTGTATCTTCTAGATGCTTCTTGTTTGAAGATTCATTTAAAAATATCCCTTGATTGGTTTCTTCTCTTGTAGCTCTCTTTTTATTGAAAAAGCTTTCTCCTTTAGATACTTTTGGAAAAATGTTGACAGCTTTCTTAAAAGCACAGCCTTGTTTTCCTGGTCCTAAGAACTTAACAATGCTCTTCTGATGGTATTTTTTTTCTTCTTCAGTTAAAAAACCCGATACTCTTACACCTGAATAGGATAGACAAGCCACAAAAGGATCAGTGAACATCATAGTTGTTTAAAAATATAATCAAAACAACATATGCTGAATTGCAGTCTGTTTCACATAGACATGTATAGGAATGCATAATAAGGTCACTAAATTCCTACTTAAATCAATTCAAATTTAGAACTAACTTTTCAAACTTCTCCCAGAATTCTCTTGTACATACTGGTTTCAGCCTAGCTTTAACATATACAGTGGAACTGGACTCCTTCCACTTCACAGGTCTCCTTGGAAATATCATTCAGGTCCCATCCCCTCTCCTAAAGGGCATGTTATGGCTTCCAATCATTAAGACATCTGATGGGACCCATAAAGCATGTCTTCTGTATCTTTGGAAGACCATATCCCCTGAGATTCACCTGACCCTGACTCTGCTGGCATTTCATAACTCACTGAAGATTAGGATGTTCCCTCAGGTGAGCCTGTTGTATGAAATGTTGGTATTACTGCGGAAGTGGTGGCACAGCAGTTAGGGTGCAGTACTGCAGGCCACTTTAGCTGACTGTGTTCAGCAGGTCAGCGGTTCAAATCTCACCGGCTCAAGGTTGACTCAGCCTTCCATCCTTCCGGGGTAGGTAAAATAAGGACCCAGATTGTTGGGGGCAATGTAAATATATATATACATTGCTTATTGGTGTACACCGCTTAGAGAGTGCTCGCACTTAAAGCGGTATATAAGTCTCATAAATAAATAAATAAATAAATAAATATGACCTGGGTTAGACTGTCTACAGATGTCACTGTATTGTTATTTGTTATTATTATTTTTTATTGGTTGTGAGATAGATAACCATATAAATATATTTAAAGATATACATAAATAACTTAGTCATACAACCTTGTTTTCCTATGATTCCCCACTGCACAACCTACCCGTAGAAGAGTCAGGGTGGGGATGGAGATGAAGAGAAACACAGTTTTACTCATTCAATTTCACATGCTTAAATCTGGATACAAACTACAAGCAATGAGTAATACTTGAAGCACCAAATGTTTTTTTGACATTGGGAAAGTGTTAAGAGTTCAACTGTTTTTGGAAGGAGACAGTAAAGGAATCATATTTTAAACATATATTCTAACAATTAATAGTGAAGCAATGTTGCTTTGAGGAACTTTCAATAACTATAATAATTGTAAATGTATAATATTAGTGTATAAGAAGAAAGTTTAACAGCAATTGAATGTTGATCAAAACTTTCATTTCACTCAAATAACTGACATAAGTTAATTGCACAAACCAGTAAGGAGCATAATTATGTGAAATGATACTTACCCATTAATCTTAAACGCAAAGGTTCTGGGGCCACACTATCCATTTCTGATTTAAGCAACTCTTTAGTAATAGTAAATATTTCATCTTCAGTAGAAACTGCAGAAAGTACTGTATTAGCTCTTGTTTTCACTTCAAAGTCCACATTCTTCAGTTTTAAAGTTACAGTTCTAGCCTATTAAAAAAATAGAGAATTTTATATTCTGAGACATAGAAATAGCTTAATAATTAGATACCCAACTCTCTGTAGTAATTTTTTAATGAATAATTTTACCTTATTTTCATTGTGTTTATATTTAAGACTTTTAAGCAACTGATTATTTTAATGTCTTGTTTTGTTCAGTTTAAATCTTACAAAAATTCTCTGTACTCTGATTCTTCATATTCAACCATGTCCAAAAAATGAAAGTCAGAGCAAATCTATACAAATAGAAACAGACTTAATTTTTAATGCTCAAGTAGAATTTTTGATTGAAACAAATAGAAAAAAGGGGTGTGAGACTTTATTTTTTGAGTTGGGAAGTGAACTTCTAAGGGAGTTAGTCATTTGTGCACTGCTAGAAACCTTTCCTTCTATTTATTTTCAGTTGCTTACTTGGCAACACCAATTTTTTTTATAAGTTTCATGACTCAAGAAATAAGTCTCCGTGTTCTTGCACAGAAACGCTGTAACTTACTATAAAAGGAGTCCAAACAATTACTCCATTTAACATTTCTCCAGAATTTCAATGAAATATTTTGCAGCTAGGAATTAAACCGGGGAAATCAACAAGAAAAGCCAAACACCTACCAACCTCCTGGTGGGAAGTGTCTTGCAGTAAAGGTGAAGAGGAAGATCAGCTCAATGAAGGAGAATGGGGGGCCATATACCATTTTTAGCAATAGGCAGTCCATTCCTAAGCACAAGTTCCAACTTTAAATTTAAGTTAAAGGCAGAATTAGGAACTGAACTCGTTTTTAACCAGTGACTGCCTGCAAATCTAACAAATCATCTTCATCATCAGCATAAATTCTGTTCTATCTAAATTCCTATGACCAAGAGGAATGCAGACAAATAAAAAGTACTCCCCACCCAAACAATACACTAATAAACTCAGAGGATGTGACCAGTAATAAACAGGAGAATTACAGAAGATATAAAGTTACCTACTTTAAGTCCTTCCTTTTTCAAATCCTGAGCAAGGTCACTGCAGAGTTCTTGACATAATTTGTATTGTTCTGATGCATTTATTTCATTAAACGTCCTGCCAAGAGAGAAGAAAATCTCAGCATGTTCTGCTCTTGACAAATTATCCAAGTAAGTTTAAACTAAGTCGTGGTGGAGCAGTGGTTAGAATGCAGTACTGTAGTCTAATTCTGCTAACTGCTGGCTGTCAGCAGTTCGGCAGTTCAATTCTCTCCGGCTCAAGGTTGACTCAGCCTTCCATCCTTCTGAGGTCGGTAAAATGAAAACCCAGATTGTTGGGGGCAATAGGCTGACTCTGTAAACCGCTTAGAGAGGGCTATAAAGCACTGTGAAGTGGTACATAAGTCTAAGTGCTATTGCTATTGCTAAGCAGAAAATATTTGCAAAATCTATTGAACAATACCTAAATACAAAAAGTTATTTAAATTCACTGCAGCATTAAAAATGAATGTTTCAGCTTATAATAGATGCTACATACTTACTACACAAAAATCAAAAGCCACAACATGATTTTCTGTGCCTGTTATGGTAATATATCAAAAGGAAGTGAAACTTTGGAACTAATAAGACAGTCCAGCATCCATTTAATAGTGGATGACGGATTTAGAACTGGATCAAGACTAGTTGTCTCATTTAGTTTGCACTGAAATTAGACACTGCTTTTACAATTATTTCAATGGGATCTAATTATAACAAATTTAGTCTTAATCCAGTTTAAATCTTTTAATTTATTACAAATATCCAATAATGACTTTGCTTTTTAAAAAACTGCACAATGAAAAATAAATTTTGGTTCTTTGGAGATCCAACATTTAATTCTACTTGAAATTCTGCTTATAAAGCTTACTAGGGGTTGGATCAAGAGAATGATCACAATTTCTTGGTACCTTCTCCTTCACTATTTCAGAGGATTACCTAACACTCTTCAGATTTTCCAAGGGTACAGACAGCTTATTAAGAAAGAAATCAATGAAAATAAGATTTTCCTCTGTTTGGATCAGTTGAAGTTTTCTCCTGTATCAGATGCCTGTCACTGATGGAAGCAGCATATCTAGACACGGAGGGAAAATTCTATTTTTATCTTAGGTCTTCTTGGCACAGTCACAATAATTATATTTGATATTACTGTTCTAATAGAAAAAATATTTTTTCTAGAAGAATGTCTCAAAAGAAGCTCAGTTATGTTAGAATTACATATTTTTTTATCTCCAAAGAACCAGTATCTCTTTTCCATGATGGGGAAAGTGTGCTGGTATCAGAATTTGGATAAATTGTCATTGCAGAATTAGTGAGTAGCAACTATCTATTATCTTTATGTGGACAGAGTTTTAACTGTTTTTATGTTTTTTCTGCTAATGAATGCCACAGGAGGTGGGCAATGAATACATTTAAATAATAAATAAATGAACAAACAAATAAGCTAATCCATAATTCAGGTAACTCCAAACTTTATTTGGCAATTTTTTAGTATTGTATTGATATCTCTTGCATCATGGGGTGTGTGTCACATTTACAGTACATTTAAATGCAGTCAAGAGGTGCACTTGATATACTTTTGAGCACATACCTTTCTGTACTCATACTTTTTCTTTCCCCGTCCCTTAAAAAAAAAAAAAAAGAAAGTTCAAGAGTGCTAAATTTCAAAGGTTAGCTCCCAATAAAGTAATGTCAAATTTTATGAGCAGACACATACACACACGCAGCAAAAAAAAGGTGATGGAAAAATAATGTTTAAAAATCAGGAAAAAATAGTTATCTGAAAAACAGGGTAAAGCAAAGATAAGAAATATTAGTAAATCTCATCATTTTCTGTATGTGTTCAACCTTTTTTTGAAAAAAAAAAAAAAGTGCCGGAACTCACACACGTCATACAACCTGCCTTGCCTACCCTACAAGGTTCCATCCAAAAAAGGTGCCGGAAAAATGAGAATATACCATCAGAGGAAGAAGTGGTAAGAAAAATCCTGGACTGTGCTGAGATGGACAAATTAACAAAAGAGATTTAAAAAAAAGGAAGACACAGAATACTATCTAATATGGAACAAGTGGTATGACTGGTTGGAGACTAGAAATAATAGAGGAGAATAAATGTGGAAAGGTCAAAAGTGGAAAATGTTGTATAATAATGTATAGTAATAATAATATGTATGAAGGAAGAAAAATGCAAATAAGAAACAACGGGGCAATAAGGACAAATATTCTAAAGAGGAATAAGAGGGGAAATGTAAATAATAGAAGATTACCGATATGAAATCGCTGTTAAAAAAAAGGGATAGTGTGTGTATGTGTGTTATGTTTTGTTTTGTTGGTTTAAAAATAAAAAAATTAAAAAAGTATATATATTCTGAGGTTTTCGCAGGTGTTTGTATGTAGGTCTTTGGTTATTCGGGTTTTCTCCCGCGTCAAATTGGAAGTGTCTTGGCGACGTTTCAACAACATCTCATTCGTCATCTTTAGGCTGGTGTTTTCGGCTTCGTGCTTCTAGGACCACGAAGCCGAAAACACCAGCGTGAAGATGACAAATGAGACTTCGTCAAAACGTCACCAAGACACAAGCCCTGGTGTTCAATATCACTCTGTCCTTATAAGAAAGTTTATCTTTTATTAGAACATAATGGAACTGAATTTATTCAACAATTTGAAAATATTTTTCAATATTGAAAATTGAAGAATTTCGCTGAAATTTATTTTTTTAAAGTTACACGTATATAGGTAATCTAGTTTAGACGTAAGGATCTTAGGAGAATTGAGGGAAAGTTCTAAGATTCTGCAATTCTGCTTGGAATTAGAATAAAAACAAGACTAGATTAAAGAACATTGAATAATAAGGCCATTATTAATTTCATGTGAAAAGCAACCTATTAATAAAATGTTCAGAAAACAAGTAAAATAAGGATAAGTACATTTCATATAAAATACCTTTCCAAATGTGTGGAACCCAAGCCAAGAGAAATTTCAAGAAAATTATGGCAGGATATTTCAGAAAACAGAAGAGAAATCAGAGCCCTCTGCTGGTAGAGTTCTGTGCAAGTCTCTATTTCCAGAGCTTTTAGCATTTTCTCTGTTACTTTTCCTATGCCTGGTACCTAAATGAGAATGAATTATATACCAGTGAAACAGGAAGTTTTAATGTGAAATCTTAATTTTAACAGTTTCAATATGTAACCCATTATCAACTATTATTAACTATCACCTTGGAAACTGAGCATTTTTAAAAGTAACAGAAATAATTATATAGCTTGATAAACTGCTGCACATAACTGGTGAATTTGTTGTTCTGCACTGACATATGTAAGTGATGCACTATGCGACAGTATCTGATTTTTTTGACCGGTCATTAAGCAAATCACACAGTCTTTACATGAAACATGTGGTTGTAAATCTCAATCCATCCTCCTGAATGGGTGTTTTTTTGCTGGCAACTGGCAGAAAAATCACAAATCATGGTCATGTGACCAAAGGACACTACAACCAGTTGTAAATGTAAGCTTGTTGCTAACTGTCCAAACTGCAGTCACATGACCATGGAGGGCAGTGGCAGATATAGAAGATAAAATGTTGATAAGAAAATTAGACACCAAAAGACAACAACTATTTCCTGAACACAACATTCATAAAAGTAGTAACATTAAATAAATATTTTTTCACCTTTCTAATAGCTAATTTTTTTATGAAGTCCATCACAGCATCTCTTTCTGGAGGGATTCTATATTGGCCATTAGGTTTATTTTTATCACTGCACATTTTTGCCAACATCATATTTGGAGCTATGCCTATAATTAAATGAAAAAAAAAATCAAATAGAAACAAAAAAGAATTATCACTTTCCAACTTCAATTATATATTATGTAAGAGACATAGTAATTCAGATATGACATGAAAGTTGAGTATAAAGAATACTTTTGTGGCAGGATCATGGGTCCGATCAAAACATAGGCCCTGTGGGTGCCCCATCTTAAAGTGGCTCCGTGATAGGCACCACTCCATAAAATGCTACTTCACAGGGGGATGAGATTAAAAATATAACACTATTTGGTTATGCAAAGGAAAGTAGAGGCTAGGTTACCAAACTGTCATATCTACATCATAATATCGGTCATAATTTGGATAGTTCTGTCATATTTTGGCCATTATGCCACAAGCACAACCAATACCTAGTTTTATCTCAAGCATTCTAAAAAAAAAAGAAAAAGTAAGCTAGGATCTCTAGAATAGAAACTTTCCAAGCCAACATTTTGTTGCCTGCATCGTATCAACTATGAATGTGGACTAAATTTAAAAATGAGTGACCAGTATGAAAGGAGTAAAATGAGTGAAGTGATCATATAGACCAGGGTTTTTCAAACTTGGCAGCTTTAGGAAGTGTGTACTTCAACACAAAACAATAATATAGACAGTACAAGGATTGAACTGCAAAACAAATACATATATGCAGGAAGATTGAATGAAAGATTGAATAAAAAAGATGCTGAGACTCTAGAAAGAGTACAGAGAAGAGCAACAAAGATGATTAGGGGACTGGAGGCTAACACATATAAGGAACAGTTGCTGGAATTGGGTATGTCTAGTTTAACGAAGAGAAGGACAAGGGGGGACATGATAGCAGTGTTCTAATATCTTGGGCTGCCACAAAGAAGAGGGAGTCAAGCTATTCTCCAAGGTGCCTGAAGGCAGGACGAGAAGCAACGGATGGAAACTGATCAAGGAGAGAAGCAACCTAGAACTAAGGAGAAACTTCTTGACAGTTAGAACAATTAATCAATGGAACAACCTGCCTCCAGAAGCGGTGAATGCTCCAACACTGGAAGTTTTTAAGAAGAGACTGGACAGCCATTTGTCTGAAATAGTGTAGAGTTTCCTGCTTGAGCAGGGGGTTGGACTCAATGACCTCCAAGGTCCCTTCCAACTTCTATTATTATTATTATTATTATTATTATTATTATTATTATTATTATTATGGATCATCGCACAGTCAGCCAGATGTTCAGACTGGATTTGGCATTTTGTCTACCTATCGAGTCCTTACCCAGGACCTGGGATAGGCAGATGTGGATGTTTGATGGTATTACAGGTATCGTCGCAGGATGGAAGCAATTCCTAGTAAGGCCGCCTTTTGCAATTGACTAATAGCGAATTTGTCAATGCCAATGGTGTTCAAGTGGTGCTCCAGTTGTTTTGGGATTGCACCCAAGGAGCCTATCACAATTGGTACTACCCTTGCTTGCTTTTGCTACAGTCTTTCTATTTCTATTTGTAGGTCTTTGTATTTTGTTATCTTCTCCAGTTCTTTTTGTCTATTCTGCTGTCTCCAGGCACTGCCACGTCCACTATCCAGACTTTTTTGTCTTTCTTATCGACAATTGAAGTCCCAGAGCAGTTTAATTTTATCATTTTCTATGACTTTCTCTATTTTATGATCCCACCAGTTTTTGCTTACAGGCAAATGATATTTTTTGCAGATCTTCCAATGCACCATTGTTGCTACTTTGTCATGTCGCTGCTTGTAGTCAGTCTGTGCAATCTTCTTGCAACAGCTTACCAGGTGGTCCACTGTTTCTTCAGCTTCTTTGCATAGGCGGCACTTACTGTCTGTTGCTGTCTTCTCAATTTTGACTTTATATGCATTTGTCCTTAAGGCTTGGTCTTGTGCAGCCAGAATTAGTCCCTCGGTCTCTTTCTTTAATTTTCCTGCTCTTAGCCATTGCCAGGTCTTGTTATTATCTGCTTTCCCAGCTATTTTTTTTAATATATTGGCCATGTACTACTACTACTACTACTACTACTACTACTACTAATAATAATAATAATAATAATAATAATAATAATAATAATAATAATAAATCATGCCCTTCATCCACACAGTGACATTGACAGACTTTATCTACCAAGGCAAATAGGTGGGCGTGGAATGCTACAAGTACATCAGATGGTTGAAGAAGAAAAAATGGCTTTGGAAGAATATCTGAAGAACAATGATGAAGATGCACTGAAATTAGTATATCAGGAAGGCTTACTGACTACTGGAGAGACCAAACTGGCCTACAAGAAAGACCAAATGAAGAACAGAATAGAGGCATGGGAAGACAAAGCACTACATGGCCAATACATTAAAAAAATAGCTGGGAAAGCAGATAATAACAAGACCTGGCAATGGCTAAGAGCAGGAAAATTGAAGAAAGAGACCGAGGGACTAATTCTGGCTGCACAAGACCAAGCCTTAAGGACAAATGCATATAAAGTCAAAATTGAGAAGACAGCAACAGACAGTAAGTGCCGCCTATGCAAAGAAGCTGAAGAAACAGTGGACCACTTGGTAAGCTGTTGCAAGAAGATTGCACAGACTGATTACAAGCAGCGGCATGACAAAGTAGCAACAATGGTGCATTGGAAGATCTGCAAAAAATATCATTTGCCTGTAAGCAAAAACTGGTGGGATCATAAAATAGAGAAAGTCATAGAAAATGATAAAATTAAACTGTTCTGGGACTTCAGAATTCAAACAGACAAGCACCTGCAACATAACACCCCAGACTTAACAATTGTCGATAAGAAAGACAAAAAAGTCTGGATAGTGGACGTGGCAGTGCCTGGAGACAGCAGAATAGAAGAGAAAGAACTGGAGAAGATAACAAAATACAAAGACCTACAAATAGAAATAGAAAGACTGTGGCAAAAGCAAGCAAGGGTAGTACCAATAGTCATAGGCTCCTTGGGTGCAATCCCAAAACAACTGGAGCACCACTTGAACACCATTGGCATTGACAAATTCGCTATTAGTCAATTGCAAAAGGCGGCCTTACTAGGAACTGCTTCCATCCTGCGACGATATCTGTAATACCATCAAACATCCACATCTGCCTATCCCAGGTCCTGGGTAAGGACTCGATAGGTAGACAAAATGCCAAATCCAGTCTGAACATCTGGCTGACTGTGCGATGATCCATTATTATTATTATTATTATTATTATTATTATTATTATTATTATTAATTGAAACAAGTGGATGACTGAAACGGGATGGAATTTGTAAGATCCTCATAAAAGCAAGGTTCATTTGCAAGGACAGAAAATATGGAAAGGAATAATGAATAATGTTAGTGTAAATCTTCCCTCTGAGTTTCTTTATCTTACTATGTCTTAATCTTTTTTGACATTTTGTGTAATTCCATCATATCTTTTTTAAGGTACAGTGACCAGAACTGCACACAATATTCCAGATGCACTCACACCACTGATTTTTATAAAGGTGTTAATATATTGATGTCTCTATTTTTAATACCATTTCTTATTATCTCTTAACATAAATGGATGTACACTGTGTTGACACCTTGATTAAACTGTTTACCACTAGCTCAAAACTTCTTTCCTCATCAGTCACTGCTGCTCTGATCCCATTTAGTTTGCACGAATACTAAGCATTTTGAGCACCAATTGTACTTTTCTATCTACCTTGCTTAGAGATTTCCTATCAACTTCCATATGCAAAACTTGCTTGCTTGCCTTCTCTGATCTCAAACTCCCATAAGCTGCTTCTCTGGGTAAGGACCTGCCTGGATTGAAAAAAGAAAATGACTGAGGAAGAAAGGAAAAGAAAGGGAGGAAATTATCTCCCCATTTATCTCCACTTTGACTTCACTTGCCAAATTCTTGATTTCTTTACTTGCAATATTATTTAACTTCATCTGAACAGACCATTACAGGCCTGTCTAGATACATTCTCTGAACTATGCTTGGATAATATTCAGCTTCATTATTCATTTGTTTTACATTAAAATTTGTGCTATTTAAATATCATTAATTCTCTTGTGGGTGTTTATCTCTTTCCATTATAAATACTTTTATTTGGGTTAGCTCTTAATCATATCCACTGACAGAATAGCAAAAGCTCTAATTTCAGATCAATTCAGAACGATTTCCAGACCTCTGTTATTCCAGAAGGTATAAAAGATTGAAAAAAATTAAACAGTAATGGGTTCTTCTTCACTGAAAGAATTTAAGCAGAGGTTGAACAGCTGACATGGATTTGGATGACTTCCAAAGTTCCTTTCAACATTACATTCTTTAGCTTTGTAGATGACCTTTGGTTATTAGTGTTTCCTAAGCTATAGTCTTTTACAACCAGTTTTTATTTTTGTTATTCATAACTCTTCTAGTCCGAAACAACTGAATCCCGTGCAAAGGACTGGTTTATTTTTTTTTTCAAAAAGTAATCAGTTATTTGGCCATTATAATAATTGCTGGTTGCAAATTTTGCCTACAAGCAATGTAAGAACAACTGTCTTTCCCTTAATTATTATAGATCTCTTATTATATATAAACAATACATTCACTTCCTTTGATTACATCCAAATTATTATATTTATTCAGAAAAGAAATCAGAGCTAATTCTTACTAATCTGAATCACTTTCACTGATTGCAGCCAGCCTCCAGATAAAAATCAAGGCAATAGGTATAATTTACGTTGAAGAGAAAGTAGGTGAAAAGGTTAGGTAAATAACTGAGAGAGTAAGTCTTAACAATCTTTGGTTATGGCCCAATGGAGTAGTGAATGGGAAACTATTTAAATAATATATATGAAAAGGACATAATTACAACTTTGTTAGTTGTGAACACTACATTCCTAGTCCAAAGCCTCCTCTCTCCTCAAAACAACATTGTAAAATAACCTGCATAAATAACAACTCTACAGGGAGAATCAGTCTGAAAGCAATTCCGCCGTTGTACACAAATGCAGAAATTCTGTGAATGATGGAGTCCAGAGTCATACCAATTCTGCCTTAATTTAATGGTCAGTATTTGCACTGGGACCACGACAATGCACATATCTAATAAGTTGTACAATCTTATATAGACAGGAGCCACGTAAATGAAATAAAATCTAATACACCCGGGAAGTATAACATAATTATTCAGCTTTGCACTTTTTGACTGGTATGTGGTTGGATAAGTATATAGCAGCAAAGAATCACAGATACAACTGTAGTCAATCAACATGTCAGATATTTTGTGAACATACTTACAGTAAATATGTACAGTAAATATGTCAGTGTTATAAACAATAAAAATATATTTACCAGCGCTGGCAGTCAGCCCAGTTTTTTGTTCAATTCTCAAACGAATTTCATTTACAACTTTCTCAGCTGATGTTTCCAAGATAAGTGACTTTAACTGAACACTTGATTCCTGGCACCGCTGCTCTTCTAAGAGCAAAGATGGTTGAATAGTCTGCTTATCAATCAGAGTGCCACTGTCAAACAATACTGGTGAACAGGAATGCATATCTTCACTCAAGTTTGATTCATCAGATGCAACTGTGTTCTGCTTTCCTGGTTTTTAAAAATTTTAAAAAATCAGACTATCATAAGCAAAACAGTCATTTCAAATTCTCTTGTAAAGCTAATAACAGAAATAGCTTTAGACCATGGGTCCCCAACCCCTGAGCAAGGAGCGGTACGAGTCCATGGCCTGTTCAGAGGCGGGTTGCACATCTGGAGGTGAGCAACAGGTGAGCAAGTGAAACCAAAACCATCCTCCCCCTCTGGTCCAGATAAAAATTGTCTTTCATGAAACTGATCCCTGGTGGCAAAAAGGTTGGGGTCTGCTGCTTTACACTTCAAAATCACTTATTTGGCAAGATTGTTGCACATATTGCTTTTAGAAAAGCAGTATTCTTATTGTTACTGCTGCAGAGTCATCTCCCATGAAAGGAATGAAAGAAAAAGCCACGGTGGCACGGTAATTAGAATACAGTAATGCGGGCTAATTCTGCTAACTGCCAACAGTTTGATCCTGAGCAGCTCAAGGTTGATTCAACCTTTCATCATTCTGAGGACGATAAAATGAGGACCCAAATTGTTGGGGGCAATATGCTGACTCTGTAAACCACTTAAAGAGGGCTGTAAAGCACTGCGAAGTAGTATATAAGTCTAAGATCTATTGCTATAGCTATTTATATGCACCTAAATATCCCCTCATACAGATGATTTGCACGTTTACAGAACTAAAATTTGGTATTGAAAGAAACAATATGTCTCTCTATATCTATACATATGAATACATCTCTATCTATTAAAACGACTAAAGAACTCACTGGTGTAGGGCTATCTAAAATTATAGTAAATTAGTAAAAATTTAAAGATTTTCTCCTTAAGGTGTGCAAATTAGAACTCCAGTTTAGGATCACAATTCTTTTTCTTGACTAAATCACTGGTCCAAGATAATAACCAGAACTGGAAAACCTTCTCCCATTGAAATGAAGACTCTTACATTTAATAAGCATTCAGAATACTGTACATTTAAAATTCTAGATTAAGATCTTATCATTAGCTTTTGCCTTGGAATGAAATTAATTCAAAATAAACATGAGAGCAAATATTAAAACTTAAAATATTCTTGTGTCACACAGTTTCTAGGTTTACTAGATCACAAACATAAAAGCAACATAATATTTTATTCTGACCTGAGAACTCCTGATAATTACATACCATTTAGACCAAACTTGGATGTACTGAGATCTTTTCTTTTACAGCAGTGGTTCTGTTCTTCTAAGTACTCTGTTATATTCAAGTAGGCTTCATCAAGGCCCATGGGCATGAATTGAGGATCATATTCCGCTAGTATTTCCCTAATCTTGATAAATATAAATACAAAGTTGAGCTATTATTTACCCATGTTTTAAATATATACCATACATCTAATCAGTATTGGCACTGTATCTTTTGGCATACATCATGGATCGATCATACATCAGGGAAGAAAGTTAATTATTGAAGAGTTGTTTTTTTTATTTCACTCCCTGCTAACTATAGCATCTTGGTCACTGAAGGTATGCTATTAACAAGAAAAACTTGTTCTCAGTGTAATAAAATGAGGGCTCTAATAAAAAATTGATAGTTAAAATGTTTTAAGACAGAAATGTCTCTCCATAAAGACATACAAACTCGCTGCTTCCAGGGATGGGTATCTCAGTTATTATATTTTGTCTCACCCATTTAACAGCAAGTAATAAAACAGACTATATACATTGTGGGAATGTATACTCCTAGTTCAATGCTACAAAGATATGCACACAATTTTTATGAAATGTCAGAACCATGAAGATAAGATAAGATAACCTTTATTGTCATTTTTATACTGTGGGCACAATGGCACACATCAAAAATGAGATTTAGTTGCCCACTCTCAAAGTGAAACACATATATGACACACATCTAAACATACTATGAACAACATAGTATGAACTATACTATGAACCATAATAAACTCGATGTCAGAGTGAAGACTGACTAGCAATGTTTTGGGTATCGGCAAACTAAAATGGACTGGAATCCTATGTCACTTAAAATCAGAGAGCGTCAAACTATCTGTAGGTATGAAATTCATAGCAGTGCTAATGTAGCCATCACTATTAACAGAAGGTGACTTAACTCAGTGTTAAGACACAAGTCCCCAAAATGACAGAATGATCTCAGTCTGAATGAGAGCAGATCAATAATATTACATTGGCTTCAAACTATGCTTTAGTCACACATGTAGAGGAAGTATAATTATTCTCTGGAAACCTGCAACAACTTGTTAGCATAATGCAAAAAACAAAAACACAAAAGAACATCCAACCCCATAATTTATTAATTATGGGAAGCAATGCTAATAGTATATGGAATAATGGGAAAAGTGTAACATAATTTTTAATTGTAGGTGAACTGCAGAGAAATTAAAACAATTAAATTAATATGCATTCTGCTATACAAATGAATCACATACCTGTTTACTTACTTCTTTATATTTCTTAAAGTTTAAAGGTACTATAGTAAGATGTGGACAAAGTTTCTTAGCAATAAATCCTGGCATAGCTGCACGTACCCCATATCTTCTAGCATGGTAATTTGAAGTAGACTTAAAAAAGACAAAACCATGATTTTTTTTTTAAAAAAAAGCTTTTTAAAATGGTTTGTATTACAACTAGATTACAAAGCTGTTAGGAAAACGTAAGAGTCATTAATACCAATTCAAGTACTACTTAAACATGAAAATTAGCTTCTACTGTGAAATCAACTCTGATTAGAAAACTATTCCATTTTGAAGAGACTCTGTTTTAAGGGTGGGGGGGTTGATGATGTGATTGAAGGGATGCTCATCATATTTGCAGATTAATTAATTCAAAATAAACATGAAAGCAAATATTAAAACTTAAAATATTCTTGTGTCACACAGTTTCTAGGTTTACTAGATCACAAACATAAAAGCAACATAATATTTTCCAAGGCCATCATAATTACGAATGGCTATTAAATGACCGGTCATAAATTGAGGACTACTTAAGTAATTTATCACCATCTCTTACATTACAACATATACTTTTCACCCCATATTTCATATCTTAACTAAAACCAAAATCCAAAAATCTCATCATTCATTCCTTATAAATTACAGTTCAGTAAAGGATGCCAGATATTATCTATCTTGATCATTTTCTCAAAAAACTGTTCAAGACTTTAACTGATGCCTTTTGTTCAGATAGATAATGTCTAGCATCCCTTACTGAACTATGGCTGATAAAAAAAATTCCAGCAACCGTTCCTTATATGTTTTAGCCTCCAAACCCCTGATCATCTTTGTTGCTCTTCTCGGTACTCTTTCTAGAGTTTCAACATCTGGATGCAGTTCTTCATTATTCCACACGTACAGACAGAAACTTGCCAAACTAAAGCACCCTAACATCTGCATCTATCATATACTCCAAGAACTATTAGGAAGGAGCTATCTTCATCCTCTTTCACAAAAAAAAAAATATCTGGACTGAGCTGCCTTTTATTTCTCTGGAATGCAGCCCTCCCTTCTTGGGAACATAGGCTAGTACATTCCATCACAATCAGTTTCACTTGTACAGTTTTCGATATCCTTTTCACTGCTTGTCACATTTATATCCACAAGTTAACTTCAAACCTAACTGGAATAACTTGTTGTTTTTTTTTTGTTACTTCCTTAACACTTCATCTATCCATCATCATCCATCCAATAATTCTGAAGACCGTTTTTTATAAATTTCCACCTGAAAGCTCAGTTATATTTTATTCCATTCTTTATCTAAATGTATTCTTTATTACCCTCTAGTTCAGTTTCATCATACCGAAGCCAGCCCACCCCATTGCTGGTAATGCAAAAAGAGTCGTGATAAGTTCTGACATGTCACATGACGCGGCGAGTTTAAAACCTGTGCTCTAGTTCCATTTAGTGCCCAACCTTCAAAGCCCCATTCTATCTTGTTTTGATTTATAAAAAACTCTTAACAAGTAGAATTTTCCACCAAAGGAATTCCCCTATTTAATTGAAATTATAGTTTCAAGTCTCTTAATCCCTTAATCTACTATAAACTTTTCAAAAATCAATATTCTACATATCCTTTAGCTATTTGATCCAAAAAATTATTTTCTCTTAATCTTAAAAACTGTATTTAAAAATCATTTCTCTAAGATGGCAATCACCCAGCAACTACATAATACTTGCTGTTCCAAAAGGTTCCAGAATATTTCATTTTTTAACATTTATTTTGTCTTGTCACATATGTTTTGTGAACTTAAGTCAGTGAATATATCTAATGGTCCCACCTCCTATTTTCCCACAACAACAATACTGTGAGGCTTAGAGAAAGTAACTACCCCAAAATCACCTAGCCACCTTTCATGCCTATGGTGACACTAGAACTCACAGCTTCCTGATTTCTAGCCTAGCACTTTACCACTACACCAAAGTAGTTTTTGTGTTCATTTAATTTCCATAGGAATAAAAAAACCCAAATCCAAAGTTATTAGGAAATAGGGCTTAGCTAAGTTTTATGTCCTTAAAAAAGGATGCATTCACAACTGTGAGCAAAGATGGTTTCTCACACAACTCGCAGCCCCTCAACTCATAAGCCCACTGTAAAACATTGATTCCTGCAACTTTCTCACAAAGTACAGCTGTGCCAAGAGCACATGGGTGATGTAAGGATTCCTCCCTAACCTGGAGAGAATTTTGGCAGCCTGGATCCTGCATCCCTTGTAAAAGGAACATCTAGCTTGCTATGGCTCTAAACTGGAAGTCCCCCGCTATATGCAAACATAGTCAAGGTTAGTTCAATTAATATAGACAAGCCGTCCTCATACTGCATACAGGGGGCTCAATTTTGCCATGGTCCATTCTGAAGCAGCCCTAAAACTGGTATAACAGGGTCATAAAGCAATTAAGTCAACAGGCCAAAAGGGGTTAGTGGTTACACTACCTTTCTTAAATAACTGCTTCACATCAGCATAAAAAAACCTATGTTAAACCCAGTCTTTCAGAATCCTATTACACGTTTAAAAATATTGCCAGCATCACCTGCCATATTCCTTAAGTACAATGTTTCCTTTTCTTGAAACAAGCAATGTATGCTGATTTTATCTTCTAAAAGATGAACTGGTGAAAAAAAATTATATAAACTCACTGACCTTTTCAAGAAAATGAGATTTCCTACTTACACTTCATTTATTCTGTCACTGAATAAGGCTTCAAAAATTTGAAGCAAACTGATACAAGGGAACATCTCAAATGCTGAGAAAATAACTGACCATGTAAGAGGTGATTTGAACATATATGAAACTTATATTTTGCTGGGGGTTATGCTGACAAATACAAATACAAGATTATTTCAAAACAACTATGTGCCTTTGAAATGATATTAAAAAGGACTTGCAAAGATGGGATAAACTACACTTATCTCTATTGGGTAGAATCTCTGTAATTAAGATGAATGTTTTACCAAGGATGCCTTTTCTGTTCCAGACATTATCAATACTTGCAACTGATGCACCATTTATGACAAAGGGATATTTCCAAGTTCATATGTCAAGGGGAAAAAAATCCAAGAATTAGATATAAGCTATTGCAAGATGCTAAAGAAAGAGGGTGTTTGGGTTTACCAGATTTGAAATGTACTTTGATGCATGCTGTCTAGTCTGACTAAAGGAATGGGTGAACCTCCAGAATAAGAGACTACTTGATTTGGAGGGTCATGAATTAAGGTTTGGATGGCACGGTTATTTATGGTATGACAAAATTAATGTTGACTTTAACAATCACTTCACTAGATGTGTCAAACTAAGAGTTTGGAATAAATATAAAACAAGGTTTTCCACAAGTTGCCTCTTTGGGTGTCCCCCCAGGAAGTTTTTTTGAGAAACGAAATGGTCGCGAAGTCAGATTGGTGGACTTATGGTAAAATAATACTTTTCAACTCTGGTGACCCTACCCTCAAGTCAAGGGAAGAGTTAGAATCAGAAGGCTATGTTTGTCATTGGTTTACATATCAACAACTGAAAGAAAGATTCAAACTAGATAAAAAGAGTTATGGGTTTGACTTTGTTTAAAATGAATTGGAAATCTTATTGCGTGGTAGTGATGAACATATTATTGCTAAGGTTTATAAAATGTTATTGAAACTGAATTTGGGAAGTGAACGTGTAAAACACTGTATGATTCAGTGGGCAAGGAACTTTGGATATAATGTGATGCTTGAACAATGGAGAATATATGGACAAAAATCTTAAAATTCACATTAAATTATAATTTAAAAGAATTTTTTATAAGATGATGTACCGCTGGTATTTAACACCAGATAAGTTATCTAGAATGCATAAAGGTATTTCAAATGAATGTTGGAAATGTAAATGTAAAGAAGGAACCTTTTATCATTTATGGTGGACATGTGATAAAGCAAAGAAATATTGGAGTAGGATTCATATCCTAATACAGAAAATTCTTAAAGTAAAGATAAAACTAGAAACTTTTGTCTGGGCTTAATGGAAAAAGAAATTTGGAACTTTGATCTTATATATGTCAATGGCAGCAAGACTATTGTATGCATAACAATGGAAGGGCATTTTGATTCCCACTATGGGAAGCTAATGGAGTTGGCAGAGATGGCTAAATTGACCGTTTAGATCAGAGGAATTCTGGGAGTTGAAGTCCACAAGTCTTAAAGTTGCCAAGGTTGAGATTAAAAAAAAGAATAGAAGTACTTTTGTTTCTACTTGGAGACCGCTTCTGGATTTTGTGCTTGAGGTGGAAAAAAAACTGAAACGTTGATTTTGGATTTTACTGATTAGATTGATTTGTTATAGAAATGGCTAGTTTATACTATTATGGAAAAGTAAGGTTGAGGTTCGATGTTAATGCTTTATTCTACTACAACAAAGGAAGTCAGAAGTCAATGCCTTTTCTTTTCTTTTTTTCTTCTCTTCATCACTTTTCTTCTCCTTTTCCCTCCCCATTGTGTTCTGCTATTTGCTTTTGTATTCTTTATTTTATTCTATAATCTAATAAAATATTAAAAACAATAAAAAAAGAAACTTATATTTTGCCAATCAACATTTTGACTGTGACTGCTTCACAACAAAAATGATTGAATATGTTGTGCTACAAAACCACTTTAGAAATCCTGTACTATTAATTATAGGCATCTCATTAAGTTTGAAAATGTGCAATGGTGTGGATTTATATCTTGATAAATATTAACACTTTGAAGGCAAAAAATAGCAAGGAATATAAACAGCAGAAGAGGGGATAGTGATCATTTAGTTTCAGAGATTTTATAAAGAAATGCCACTATGTGAAGAGCTTTGCAATGAGATAGTTATTTAAAGCAATATTCATTTATACAAAAGCTTGATTTCAATGAAAATACATTGGAGATGGTTAAGAACTGTGAGGAGCAGCCAAAGGTTTCTACCAAGAGAAGAATGCGAGGCAGCAATTTCTTTTCTGTCTTATATCCCCAAGCATATTTTTGTACTGCAAAGGAGATCACAGCTCTTCAGAGTAAATTATTAAAATGCTCTGGGGTTGCAGAGGTTCAGAACGTCAAGAGAAAATGAAAATGGTTGAGGGGAACATTGTTCAAATCATAATGAATTGTACCAAAATGGTAAACACTTGTTTGAAATGTTGCCCTTTATTTTGTTGCTTCAGTTCATCCACTATACTTTTCTTTTCTTATAATGAAGATCAAGTCAGGATATACTGCTCATTTGAATTGCTTGTAGTTTGTGATGGAGTACAGGAACGCCTCATTTAGTAACCAATAGTTCATCACGCATGCAAACTTATGATGGCACTGGTATAGTTCCAATTGGACCTCATCACAATGTCCCTGCAGTTATAATTTGCAACTTTCCCTACTGGCTTCCTACAAGCAAAGACAACGGGAAGCCAGCAGGAAGTTGCAGTCATGTGAGGTCCTCACATAATGCCCACATAGTCATTTAATCATGGCAACTTAAATTGCAATCACTAAGCAATGGAACATCATGGTTTTTTGACTTATGACCATGTCTCTTAATGACAGAATTTATGGTCTCAATTAGCAAGTTTAAATGAAAATTACCTGTATATATGCTCTTCACAAATATCAGATATTCCATTTCCAGCTGTTTGGGGCAGATGCAGAAATCTCCCAGAAAGCTGCTAGTCAGAGTCAATACTTACAGAGGCATACTAAAGTCACACAGAAAATATGTTTGCTACCATGTTGTAAGTTAAACCAAAGAACTGTTTTATTTAAAACTGTAGCCCCAAGCTATGAACAAGAACAGGAAAGGCAAAATATTGATCTTAAAAAATATTTGTATAATACTTGCAAAAATAATTGTTTTGCTTCCCTATTATCACAAATTTAGAAACAAGGAACTTGTATAAAATGAAAAACCATGTCTGTGTTTTCTATGCAGGTATGCAAATGCTGTATTTCTTCTTACCAGCATACTCAATGAACCCACTGCTATGGGTTTGTCCCTTAATTCAGGATTGTCTCTCATTTCTACAGCTGCATAAAAGGCATCCATGTCAATGTGTACAATAGTACAACTAAGGTCACGATTCTGATCCAGTTCCATTGCAAGTTTATCCATCTGTTTGTAAACAGATAAACAAAACTGTATAAAGACAGAGTTTTTCTCTTACTCAAAGTTGGATAAGTTTATAAAAATAACTAGAAATTACTTCAGAATTGTTTCATAAAATATATACATACATACAGTATCAACATTGTTACATAGTCCCTTTTATCACTTCAAAGTCTTCTGCTTGCAATAATGTGTTATTATTTGCACAATAATTAATTTATATCCTAAGTAACAGAAATGATCACATGAACCAACCGTTATATAGATCATTTCAAACAGGCTCTGAACTAATTTACTGTGGCATGAGAAAGTGGCATATTTAATGCAATAATTATGCTGTGATTATCTTTATGGCTCTCCCGGTTAATTTGTTTAATGTCCACAATGCTGTTCTTTGTATGTGAGTAAACAAGAACTAAGTATAACTCACATGAAGTTCTACTATAATCACAATTAATTGCTGCCAAGCTCTTTTTCCAAGAGCTTTCTGTGTTTTGAAATATCATGTAATTGATGAAAAATATATGCTTTCCCATCACTGATGTAGAAATAGTCAACATTTAATTTCCAAACAATATAACATTTTTACATACATAGGATACTAGTAAAATCTACAATAATCATACAGCTTTGGGAAACTGCCCACATAAATTTACTTCTTGGAAACATTGGGGCTGTATTTAAAACCAACATCATAGTTATGTGAATAAGGTGTTGTATAGAAATTTAATAGCTTCTAAGGCTGTAAAAGTTGACATTCAGGAGCCCCAGAAACACTAGTTGAAGCACTACAATGGAAAGCCAGAGCTCCTAGAGTTTAGACAAAGAAGATTGGCAAGATTCAGCAAGTCACAAACCAAATTGACTTATGTTTACTTAAATAGCAAGCCTTAAATTGAAGATTATCTTAAAACAGCATGCTAAAATGTGAGGCTGACATCACATTTGTATTGTATCCTTTGTATTCTAAGCCCTAAGATATATTAGTTATTTCAGATTAAATCAAGCAAACCTATGCAAAATGGAGTTAAATTAAATGGAATAAACTTTTCACTTTTTTCTTACATGGCTGGTCTTTTCAAGAGCTTTAATAAAATTACCTGCAATTGTGCTTTCAAAATCTGTTGCTCTGTTATTTTACTTTTTAGTTTCAGCATTTTTTCAATCCGTTTATTAACCTGCTGGTCTTTCTTAAGTTCATTTTCATAAAATCTAGAACCCTGCCAAAGAGATTAAAATTACTTCAACCTGGTATATATCTGTTTAATTATTTTTAAGTTGTGAAAGTCATTAGAAGAGCACCTACAAAGGACTTTGACCACCAAGTTTGTTGTATTCACTAGTAAAGTGGCATTTCTTAGATCAGGGGTGTCAAAATGCCGGCCCACGGACGGGATGCATAATGCCAAACCATGCCCACCCCATTGCCGGCAATGGGGAAAAAGTCGCAATACGTCGCAACACATCACATGACATTGCAAGTTTGACACCCCTGCCTTAGCGCATGGAAGAAAACTGGAATCACTAAATAACAAATCAAACATAGATACTCTGAGCTGTGCCAGAATGTATATATTTAGACACATATTTTGTGCAATATTTTGGTTACGACATTTCACTTCATGAAAAAAAATAAAACAATATAAACAAATAATAGATTTAATTTATAGATTTATTTTAACATTAATTGTAATGACTATTCATGCCTATTACCTATTCCATGTTGGTAAATACCCGACATTTTTTACTGAATACAACCAATGTGAATAACTAAATTATTTGTTAACTTATAAAAAAACTTATATAAACAAACCTTGGAGGCTTCCATTATGATTTTGTTGATCTTCTCTTTATCCAGCCCTTGCATTCCAGCTTTATTATCATTAAGACCCATCCTAAGAAGTAACCCCTCTCTGGAAGAGGCATTATCTTTGTTTGCATTTTCCATTGTACAAACCCAAGCAAACAGTTTCTCAGTTATTACCCTGAAAAAGAAGAATTGCATAGTTTTAGAGTCTACTGCTGTCACTCTCACAACATCATAACATAACAGAATTATCTACACATGCAGTTAACAATGTTACATTGTTTTTTATCCACAGAAATATATTCAGATGAGAACCTGGGGAAAGTGTGCATATATCTCATTTTCATTTATTATCTCTTATTAATTTATCTTAGTAATTGCAATATCATTTGCCAAACAAGTGCAAAGTAGCAATGTTTCTGGTTAAATTATCTTCAGATCAGTGGTGGGATTCAAATATGTGAACAACCGGTTCTCTGTGTGGATGCCGCTTCTGGAAGTCCATTCTGGGCCTGGGCAACAAAAAATTAGCTACTGGTTCTGCCAAGTAGTGCAAACCGGTTGAATCCCACCACTGCTTCGGATAGATTTGAAGCCAGCAGCGCGGAGGCCTTAGAATTCTCTCTTATACCTAGAAGTTTACTTTATTTTAAAAAATAAAAACAAGAGGACATAGAAACAACCAGTATCAACACAATACCAATAACATGACTTTAGCCATGAAAGCCAGCTAGGTGATCTTGGGCCAGTCACACTATCTCCCAACTCACCTCACAGAGTTGTTGTTGTGGGGAAAATAGGAGACATGCATGTTGGATATGTTCACTGCCTTGAATTATTTGTAAAAATAAAGGTGAGATACAATAAATAAAAAAAAATTTGCATCTCTGGTATATAATCTTTCTCAATATTTACAATTACAATTCAACAAAAAACTACTTCATGTCTTGGCTCTGTGGGGTATCTTTTTGGAAAGATGGATTCACCTAATTGAAATGTAGTACCCAAAATATAATACAGGCAGTCTTCGACTTAGAACAGTTCATTTAGTGACATTCAAAGTTACAACAGCACTGAAAAATGTGACTTATGATCGTTTTTCATAGTTACAACCTTTGCAGCATCCCTATGATTATGTGATTAAAATTCAGATGCTTGGCAACTGGTTCATATTTATGACCACTGTATCTCAGGGTCATATGATCACTTTTGTGACCTTCTGACAAGCAAAGTCAATGGGGAAACCAGATTCACTTAACAACCAGTTTATTAACTAATCAGTTGTGGAAATTCACTTAACAACTGTGGAAAGAAAGTTGTAAAATGGGGCAAGGCTCACTTAATAAATGTCTTACTTACCAACAGGAATTTTGGGTTCAATTGTGGCCCTAGGTCGAGGACTACCTGTATTAATATATAGCCAAACTGTGTCTTCTTTTTTTTTGACAGAAATTATTTCAAATATTAATTACAGTTTAGCTCCTGAGTGTCCACTCTTTTGGCTTGCCTGCGTCACATGAAATGAAAAGGAATTGTCTTGGGTTGTTGCACATAATATGCAGTAAATGGATATAAATCTGGTAATTTTGTGGGGCCATATTACTAACTGTCCAGGGCCACACGTGGCTCACGGGCCAAGCTTGGATATTCCTGCTTTAGCAGATTCACTGGTTTCTATTCTTTTGAATTATACATTATCAGTTTAGAAACTTACAGAAAGATGATGACACTGGGTATTGCATAATTCTATGACTGTTTAGAAAACAATACTACAAGATTGTCAGGGTACTCATTCTCTGTGATACAATAAGCTGGATAATCTCCAAATTTGAAAAAAAAAATCAGGTAGTTTTATTTGGGGCATTTTTAGACACCTAGACTGCAAAATTAATTTGTATAATTGATTTCATTTCTTTATCATAAATCAAAATGACTTAAATGATAGTAGTTTTTAGGAAGTCCTCATTTAGTAACCACATTTGGAATCAGCAACTCAGTTGTTAAAGAAAATAATTACTAAGTTAAATAGTGACTCTGCTTACAATCTTACTTCAACCTTAGTTTGCTTTACAAGCCTGTGAAAGTTGTAAATTAGACCATAAAATTACCTTTTCATCAATATAGTAACTACAAATGTCACTAAATAAGGCAGCTGTTAAACAGGGATTACATGTAACTTTAAGGCATAACAAGGATATATAATTACATTAGGCTTTGTTTAATATTTATGAGGTACATATTTTCCTAGGCATTTTCTTTTTTATATAATTAAAAATAAAAAAGCTGACACATTGAAACACTGATTATCATTGTTAAGGAACAGTGGGAATAAAAAGGCTGTTACTATTTCTGTTCATTCAATCTGTAAGTGATAGGATCTATAATATCTCAAAACTCTTCTTGACAAAAGATTATACAAGAAGTAGGGCTATCTTAATAGGCTATTCTGCCTCATATTATTGCCTTGATGTTAGTTGATACAGCAGTCCAATTTAATTCAAAGCATTGTTTTGAGTAGAAAATCAAATCACTCCACCTCACACATTGAAAGAACTTGGGTTATTCACTCTAGAGGATAAGGGATAAAGACAGGCACCTTTATGTGATCTGGTACTTTGAAGGCAATGTTCTCTCTAATCCATGATACTACTTCAAAGACATGCTTTTACTAAAATATTATTGAAGCAAGGCACCTCTTCAAAGTTCTGCAGTTCTAACAGAGAGATTATTTTAAGCCAGTGTGTAAAAAGTAAAAATATATCCAAAATATATCCAAAAACAGGAGTAGATAACCTGCCACCCCAGAGCTACATACAGACCAGAATTTACCAGCCCCAAACCACCTATAAATATTGGTAATGTAATTTCCGACAATTTTGAAACAAGAAAGAGACATTTAAAAACAATGACAGCATAGTTTAGAATATTCAGAAAGTTCTTCCAAAACCAAGAACAATTATGTACAATTTTTTATATCATCACCCTGTTGAGTTTGCTTCAAGGTGACACCCACAATGGCCCTAGGTCAGGGATAGGCAACCTTGGCTCTTTTATGACTTGTGGACTTCAACTCCCAGAATTTCTTAGCCAACATAGAGGCTGCTGTGCATGAGTTCTCTCTCTCTCCCTCCCTCCCTCCCTCTCTTCCCCCCCCCTCTCTGATCTGCTCACCTGGCAAGCTGGCTTCTTGAGGAGAGAGAGGGGGGGAGGGAGGGAGAGAGAGAGAGAGACCACTTAGAATTAGAATCTTTTGAAGGTATGAAAAATAAAGTTAAGTTCATGTCTGGTAATAACAAAATAAAAAAATGTTCTGCTATAAAGAACAATGAAGATTAAAGCATTGTTGGAATAAGATGACTACCAGTACAAGAAAGCCTCAAGAAACAATGCAATTGTAATTTGAGAACCCGTCAAGAGAAAAAAATCCTAATCAACATATTGCTAACTAACTGATTTTTATATAAAGAAGTGTATTAATCAGAGGTAATATAAAAGGGCCAAGAAATGGTAGAAATGGAGAAGCTACTTTATACTTCTTTCCCATCATCAACTCCATCATTTTATCTTCATAATTAAATTAAAATAGGAAGTATATTCCACAGCTAAATGGTGAACAAATTTCCATAATCATGAAGGTTGCAATTATGTTCTTATTAAGAGCATTATTATAAATTATCTTTAGTATGGGATTTTTTAAAATAACATCAAGTCTGGAAGTTATATAGAAAGATATAGTTTATTGTAAACACCCATGTATACTTGTCTATAAACACAGGAGAAGGCTGTTCCTCATGACAAATATTCTTATGAGAAATATTCAGGAAACTTTATTAATGTGGAGAAAGCAGTCACATAGCAATTTCAGAGAACCTTGGATTAGGTGGATTATCTAGACCCCTTTCAGTCAGGGTTCAACCAGGATTTGGGACTGAGACAGCACTGATCGCACTCATGGGTAATATCTTTGTGGGGTGCCTCGAGGTTTCTGTTTTTTCTCTCCTTGTACTAAATATACATATGAGATCACAGAGTGAGCTGATCCATCAGTTTGGGGTGAGATACTATCAGCACACACGACACCCAGCTTTATGTCTCTACTTTACTTTGGGAGTGATGCTGTGGATGTCTTATCCCAGTGTCTGGAGCCTGTTGGGGACTGGATGGAGCAAAATGGGTTCTGATTCAACCCTAATGGCTGTGAGTATTTGGATCCCCTGAGGAAAAAAAAATCTTTCATCTTTGATTCTGGATGGGGATGTACTGCCTCAGACAGACCTAGCATGCAATCTGGGGAACCTCCTGGACTTGCAGCTCCTGCTGGAAGGAGTGGTGGTGCACCAGTTGCATCCATACCTGGATCAGAATGCTCACAGCAACTCATGCCCTTCTAAATCTCTAGGTTAGACTACTGTAACATTCTCTACAAGGGGCTGGCCCTGAAGACCATTTGGAAGCCTCAACTCATGCAGAATATGGTTATTCAGGTTATAAATGGGGCCAGATACATGGCACATGTAACACCACTTTAACGAGAGCTGCACTGGTTTCCAGTGTTTCCGGGTGCAATTCAAGATTACGTTAAAGACCTACATGGGGTACCTGAGGAATCACCTGTTTTCAAAGAGTCTCTATCCGTCCAACCAGATCGAGCAGAATGGGCATGCTGCAGATCTCATTAGCCAAAGAGTGTCGGCTGGCAGTGATCAGAAGACAAACTTTTTCTGTAGTGGCCCCTGCTCTATCGAATATCCTCCCTTCATAGATTAGAATGGCCCCAACTCTGTTGGCCTTTTTAAGACCCTAAAAACCTGGCTATGTACTCATGCCCGGGTTACTCAATGTCTTAAGGGCCTATTTCCTGACTGTATTGCCAACTGACTACTGTACATTCCGGCGTATAAGGTGACCCAGCGTATAAGACGACCCCCGTCTTCGGCACAGAGTCGCATGCCTAGAAAGTCATCTTATATGCTGGAAACTACCATTATTTCCGGCGTATAAGACGACTCGGCGTATAAGACGACCCCCGACTTCGGTGCTAATTTTAATGCTTGCGAAAGTTGTCTTATATGCCAGAAAGTATGGTAAATCCCTTACTCCTATGTATATTTAAGCTGGATGTTTTAGTGTTCTAAAATATTTTTAGTTTTTTTAATTGTAATGCATTTTCTCAATTGTAAGTCTCCCAGAATCATTGACTGAAATGAGCAGCTATAGAAATTGAATAAAGAAATAAAGATAATTTGGTTATCCTACTGATCAAATTAGAAACTGATGCAGGAGAATATTGGTAGCTCAGGGTTGAACTGTGGGGTCACTGATGTTCTCTGAGCTTGGTGGTTTTCTTGCAGATGTTTCATTACCAAACTAGGCAACATCATCAGTGCTCAAAAAACTGAATGAAGAACATTATTCTGGAATTATAGTGAGATATCTTTCCTATTCCTTACATTAAGAAAACATTTAGAATGCATGTTGTTTTGGTTTTAAACTATTTTTGAAGCGCTTTATTTTTCCATTTCGTGAAGCTGACTAGAATTTAAAAAACATTTTGAAGTATACAGTATTTATTTACTAGAAAGGTAGACTAACTTTTTCCAAAATCATTTACCTATACTTGAGTCATTTTGAATTTAAGAGGAGAAAATCATTTTAAATTCAGGTTTGTCTTACTTTTAGGTAAATATGGTATCTTTCTTAATATTTGCTTTAGTAATTGAAAAAAAGTTATAGTATGAGATCCTCTCAAAGAAAAATACTAATAGTAATTCTAATACAGGGCTTTTCAACCAGTGGTACGGGTACCACCTGTGGTACATTGGCACCTGGCAGATGGTACGCGACCATCCTAGAAAAGTGGTAGCGGGGAAGAGGAATGAGCTGAACTGGTGGCAGCACCACACAAGCCTGAGCGAGAGATGGCTGGAGCTGCATGGCTGTTAGGGTTCAGTAGAAGCGCCAGGATCAGCGCCAGGCTCCAGCTGGAGCTCAGCGCTGATCCTGGTGCTTCTTACTGAGCCCAGAAAAAGTGCCGATCAGCCGGAATGTTGCAGCATCTCCAGGGTCTTGTGATTTACATTCAGATGCTTGGCAACTGATTCATATTTATGACGGTCACAGTGTCCCAGGGTCATGTGAAGTGACCAAAACCTGCTGCAACCACCCAGCAGATGGGGGGAATAAAAACCAAACATCCCCCCCACCCCACCTCTGCTGCCAATCCTCAACAGAAATGCTCACAATGAAAACCTCGGACAGGAGGAAGAGCGCCGCCGGGCGGGCAGGCGTCTTGCTCGGCTGTGGCTTGGGGGCACTTTTTTCAGTGCCATTGTAACTTCCAACAGTCACTAAGCGAACTGTTGTAAGTCAAGGACTACCTGTACTTTATCACTTTTTTCCTTTTTGGGGGGGGTGTCATCAAGTTTTTGACACCTTGCTAGGCGACTGGTGGTACTCGGATATTGCCATATCCTAAAAGTGGTACAATGAGTGAAAAGGTTGAAAAGCCCTGTTCTAATAGGAGTAATAGTTTTTTATTCCATTTATTTTGGGCAGGATGCTTTCTAAAATAATTGGAAAAGTAAAATATAGTAAGAAATGTTTTTTGACTGCTATATTTACAAGACTCTTCTTACTGATAGTAATGAGATTTTAACACATATTGTATACATGGACAATTAATGATGAATATATTATAAATTAACCATCCATTAAAATGAATTTAAACAGGTGTACAATTTTTTGTGTATGTTGTCTAAAAAACTTTGTTTTTAGCTTCTGAGTATTTGAAAAATTATTTCTCATTAGCTATACAGGATTTTATATATTTATTGAGATTTTCAAGTTAAATATGTCTCTGCTATAGTCATCAAGTCCACACTGTCAAAGACCAAAGAACCAGTGAGCACACCAGTGAGTTCTTCAGAACCTCTCCAGACACGGAGAAGATGGGTGATTGCCCACATGTACTCCAACCACTGTTTCTCACCAGAAGGCCACAGGATAGCAGTATTCTGCAGCTTTGTCAAGAGATGAAGAAATCAGTCATCAAGCTCAGAACAGCCTTTCAAAGGACACTAAATTTGCTAACCTCATTTTCTAGTAATTTGTGCAAATTGCTTATTTAACCACCTTAAAGATACTAGAGATCTTCAGTGCAACAAGTTTGAAAAGCCACTTGGTGAGTCCACCTTCATTTCTCAGCAAAAGAAAAATGAACTGTAAGAGTAACAACTTAAAAGAATTTCAAATAAAAGGCAAAAATCTAAATAAGATTTTGAACTAAGAAAGTTATTAACAAATTAGGGTCCATACAAATTTGGAACATTGAAATTTTTACTATAAGATTTTGAAACTAACTATATAAAATAAATGGCTTTTTGTGGAAACCAAAACTAGTTTATCTAGTGTATATTGTAATAGAAATTAAAGGTTTATTATTTAAATTGAACACTACAGGGGGCTAGAGATTCCAGACAAGAAAAAAAAATGTAAACTTGCTTTTGGTTTTGATCAGTAACAATATTAAAAATATTAAACAATGTCTGCTTTTATGGATAGACTAATTCAAAAAGTGTCAATGAATGACAGTTATGAAACAAAGATGTGAGCAAGAGCTGTAAGTCTACTCTAGAGATAGCCCCAAAGTGCATACAGGTAGTCCTTGACTTACAATAGTTCATTTAGTGACCGTTTAAAGTTATGACCGTTTTTCAGTTACAACCTTTGCAGCATCCCCATGATCATGCAATCAAAATTCAGATGCTTAGCAACTGGTTCATATTTATGACTGTTGCTGTGTCCTAAGGTCATGTGATCCCCTTTTACGACCTCCTGACAAGCAAAGTTAATGAGGAAGCCAGATTCACTTAATAATTGGGTTACTAACCAATTGCAGTGATTCACTTAACAGCTAAGGCAAGAAAGGTCATAAAATGGGGCAAAACTCACTTAACAACAGACATTTTGGACTCAATTGTAGTCGTAACTCGAGGACTACCTATACTCTGGCAGAGTTAATAGAAAATCTCCGAATCAAAACAAAACCTTTATTGTGTTCAGTGAGCATCAAAATCTTCAGAACCCGGAGGCCTAAAACCCACAGCCACTAACTAATCTTGCCATGATTAAACTAAAGCCTATTCTCTCCTAACCAAACCCCCATAGTCTCTGGGCACCAGGAAAGGTCCTAGTGGCATCACTTTTTTTGGCTTAGGAGAATACAACTGGCTATCATCAATGAACTGATATTGTACACGTGTCATATGATTATTTTATCTAGTAGCTTCATGTAGATGTTAAATAAGACTAGGGACAGGGAAGAGTCCTAAGGCAAAACCAGCTCCAGGGAAAGGAGGAAAATCAGTCTGGTGCTATTATTTTCTACTCCCAATTCCTGAAATGGGCCAGAAAAAAAATCACGATCAATAGCATCGGAAGCTGCTGACTAATTGTATTAAATCTTCAGTAATGTTTATTTGCAATTACACAGCAGATAAGAACGTTTCAAGTATAATAATAACAGAAATCTTTAAAGTATGCAGATTTCAACCTACATAATCTTTTAAGCGTGTTAACTGAAACTAATGCTATTGACTTTGAAACCCTAACATAAACAATATTGCTGCAGATGGAAATATTTTTTTCTTTGTGGCTGAGGCTCTTGGAGCATCATTCCATGATGGATTGCAATTTTCAGAGAAACTGCACCATCTCCTGAAACTTAATTTAACTCATCCAACTTGTTTTCTATCTACCTCATCAATTCCCTAAAGGCAGAAATGAACACTTTCAAACCAACCTGCCATTATCTTTAAGAGGTTTATCAAATGCAGCCAGGCACAGAATGGATATTTTAGGCAACTGCTGAAGCACAGACAAAACCAAGATCAATAAGGAAAAAAAAAAGAAAAAGGATAGAATGTTGCAAGGGATAAAAGTGATTGAAGATAACTGCAAAAGCAGAAAAACTATAATTGATACTTACTCCCTCAGACTCTGTAGTCAAACCACATCACATTAGTTCTCCTTCCTAAAACAATAAGACATTTTCATGTTTCTTTTTTTACATACAAATAAGAACTACCTTGCTGGAATGAGATCAAGAGCTGATATAGTTCTTACTCTCCATTTTCAATTATGGCCACATGTCTGTAATGGCCACGATCATGTCCCCCCCAACCCTTTCAGAACCAGGAACCAATTCTGTGGAGGGCAGTTTTTCCATGGACTGTGTGTGTCTATGCCTAGATCCTACACATGTGCAGATGGGGCTTCACTCGCCCAGTTCCTGGCAAGCCAAGACCAGTGCTGGTCCGCAGCTCAGGGATTGGGGACCCTGGTTTAATTGCTAAAACTACTCATATATGACATGATATGGTATGGCTGTGGAAAGCATACAAAGGATCTGCTTCATAAAGCACACCAGTTGATTGAACCACCCCTTCCTGAAATCTTAAAGCAACAACATACAGCTACTTTGAGGGACAATTTTTTGCTGTTTGTAGACACAATACTTCCATTAGGATTAGCAGCAAAGCTGCTGCATGCACATGTAATTTCTTTTGAGTAAGCCAATGAATTCTTTAAATAATGTTGCATCAACACTTCAAAGAAATTATTTACAAATAGTCCTCAACTTATGACAATTGAGCCCGTATTTTCTGTTGCTAAGCAAGGCACTTGTTAAACTGAGTTTTGTTTCATTTTATGACCTTTCTTACTATGTGAATCATTGTAGTTGAGTTAATAACATGATTTTTAAGTGAATCTAGCTTTCCCATTGGCTTTGCTAGTCAGGTCACAGAATGTGATCACATGACACCAGGATACTGCAACCATCTTAAGGGGACTGGACTGGAGGGGACTGGAGGTAAAACATATAAGGAACGGTTGCTGGAATTGGATATATCTAATTTAATGAAGAGAAGGACGAGGGGGGACATGATAGCAGTGTTCCAATATCTCAGGGGCTGCCACAAAGAAGAGGGAGTCAAGCTATTTTCCAAAGTGCCTGAAAGCAGGACAAGAAGCAATGGATGGAAACTAATCAAGGAGAGAAGCAACCTAGAACTAAGGAGAATTTTCTGATAGTTAGAACAATTAACCAGTGGAACAACCTGCCTCCAGAAGCGGTGAATGCTCCAACACTGGAAATTTTTAAGAAGAGACCGGACAGCCATTTGTCCGAAATAGTATAGGGTTTCCTGCCTGAGAAGGGGGTTGGACTAGATGACCTCCAAAGTCCTTCCAACTTTATTATTATTATTAATAATAATAATATGAACCAGTTGCCAAGGATCTGAATTTTGATCACATGACCATGGGGATACTGCAATGGTCATGTGAAAAACTGTTATAAATCACTTCTTTCAGTGCCATTGTAACTTTGAACTGTCACTGACTAAACGAACTAATGTAAATCAAGGATTATCTATACTTAAACCACCAATGAATTCTGCAAAGTATCTCTCTTGAATTTTTTTCACGGGCTCTGTGGCTACATAAATATACAGCCTCAACTGTATTGTGCTTTTGCAAATCTTTAAAAACTTCCAACAGCCTGCAGCATATGAGTTATGATTCACTCCTTGGTAATAGATCATTTTTATGATCTTGATCAAGTTATGTTCTATTCTTTTCCCCAATGTATTGTTGGTCTTATTTACAGTTTGTTTATTATCTTATGCTTCTTAAACTAATATGTAAACTGCTTAGAATTGCCTGTGTTTGAGGAGGCATATATGAGGATTAAATACAGGCCACAGCTGAAGATTACTGAGAATCAGAGGTCTTCAAAGTACTTTTATTTGGCTCTAACAAGCTAACAAGGTTTGGAGAAAAAACTCAAGATTTTCACGTTGTATTTCACAGGGATTGTAATTTCACTGCAGTAAATTTTGGATGTTGTGCCTGGCACTACCAGTCACATAAGCCTTGTGCTTTATCCGTAACACACTGATGACAAAGTATTTGTGAAGACAGCTACTGCAACAAGAGGCATTATGTATCCTTACTCTCCATTTAACCATCTGTGCTCTGCACCAAAGTTACTAGTAGAATCTTAAGCTATAGATCAAAAGAATTTTTGATTTCTATTTGTTTAATAATAGGAACCAACTTTATATTACCAAAACGAGAACTCTTAAGGAAATGAGAAAAGTGTTAGGGTGAAATAACTAGGTTTCAATTCTAAACAAGATTCTATTTGTTTAGTTAGAACAAATTCTATAATCTTAAGTATGTTCAACCCTGTCTCGTCCAAACCAAAACGTCCGCCCACAAAAAAGTAGCCACAGGAACAAATTAACCCTAAATCAGCTTCTGTGACTCGCGGTATAGCAAGGCTAACATATTTTGCAGGTTTCAGATGTTCAACCTTATTAAATTCAAACGAACTTTTCCTCTCGAGTAAATTCGCATTACGTTGCAATTTCGTCTCCCTGTTTGGAACTGGCAGCACATGTAGCTTTTTTTCTCCTCATTTCATACATTTCCAGGTGATCTACATACTTCCACCATGTAATTAAACCAAGTAGCTGTTTCTATTACGAAAAAAAACCCTCAATGTCTTTCCTTCGCTCTTGTGTATAATATGTAAGAGTGCAAAAAGATAAATCATCCCATTTATAAGAAAGGCATAGAGAAACCTAAAACCCATGCAAAGAAGGTAGAAAAACTCTCCCACAAAACCAGTTCCTTCCTAATCACATATAATATAGCCATAAGGTCCCCAACACACCTCAGTCCCAGAAGCTTCACTAGCCCCCGTTTCCGCAATAATTAAATCGCACCAAGATGGCGACCAATTGTGTTTTCAAAAAAAGAGAGAAAAGGAGCGACGCCGGTACTTTGCGGAAGCAAACCCAATGCAACAACCAGGAAATCCAGAGAATTAGGGGAACGATTAACGCCCGCCGCCCCACCCGCTTCCCCAGGAGGCGATGCGCCTTCAGTCGACTACAATTCCCAGCATGCTCTCGTTCTAAACTACTCCGTCTGGTGAGAAGCGTTTAAAAGGTCTTGGGGGAAAAAAGAAGGGGGTGGCGAGAAAGATGGCGGAAGTAGTAATAATTGCAACAACCACCGCCACAAGGTTGAACTGAGTGGAGAAGGAGAAGACGCGCGCTTGTCCCACTGAAAGGCTGCTTCTAATGGTCAGGGCCACCAGCGTGTGCGGAAGGGTGGGGGAGATCCGCGAGCTGCTGTCCCGGCGGTGGCCAGAAGGGGACAGACCGAAGGAAGGGCTCTGAAGGCGAGTTAGGCTGGAGCGACGTAGCAACAGTAGTGGCTCCGGAGCAGCGAAGCGTCTTAATCAGGTAGAGAGCGAGCTCCGGTGGTCTCGGCGTTTCGGCGAAAGGGCAGAGGGAAGTGCCTCCATGTCGGACAACCAAAGCTGGCATTCCTCCGGCTCAGAAGAAGATCCCGAGACAGAATCGGGGGCGCCTGTTGAGCTCTGTGGAGTCCTCAGCAAGGTAAAGAAATAAAGCCCCTTCGTTTTCTTTCCCCGCCGCTATGGCTCCTCGGGTTTTGCTTGGACGACCGTCTGCCTTAGGGAGCCTCTTTTCCTTTCCCCCGCCCGCCCGCCCGCCCGCCCGCCCCTCCCCCGTGATTGGGGGGGTTGTGAAGGCATGTGGGGGCCAGGGCGGAAGGGTGGCACCGTCATGCTCTATCTTCTGCGAAAGAAGCGCTGGCAGGCAGTGGAGAGAGCCTGACGTTGAGTCACCTCGCGGGTTGCCCACCCGCCCGGCGGTGGCGGCGCCGGCCTTCTGTCGGACTGGCTTCCTGGTCAGCGGGAGGTCCCGGCACGTTTCCTCCGCCGCCCACTATGGAGCTGAGGTGTGTGCAAAATATGTATATGCAAGTATATATTTGGATGAAGCGCTTCGTCGCCGCAAGCGGAAAAGTCACTGAGGGAGTCTTTATCCGAGGAGCGGCTGCTTGTCTCCAAAACGTTTCATTCGCTGAAATGTCACTTGTCTCGGGAAATTTCTTGATGGCTGCAGGATTTTTTGCGTGAAAGTCTTGCTAAAATAACTTACGTGCGTGGGTCGTCTTATATTTTTTTTTCTTATGGTAAGACTCCTTATGCATCCATCTCTTTACAAGTGCCTGGTAGAGTATTATTGCAGACCACACTTGTAACAATTGCTTAGATGAGTAAATATTTTGGTAATGGCCTTCGTTGAGGATTGCTCAGGGCACACTCTTGGTATATATGCAGGAAGGAAAAGCTAACTTCATTGTTGTCCCTGAAACAAAAATCCCAAAATTTCTTTCTACTCGTTTTCATAAGGGGAAGAAAAATCATGTGTATCTGCAATTATAACAGATTGTGGCAAGATCACATAAGAGTTCTGTGACCTTTGGGCAAAGCATCAAATAGTGTCATAAAACAGGCTGGTTGGAATAAATAGTACCGGTAGTAGAAGTAGCTCTTGCTTTCAGATTTCAGTCTCTCTACTCTCTAATCTGTATTATGAATCCTTGCTTTGAAATTAAAAGGGATGGGCATGGTTGCTTCTTAGCTAGAGATCACTTTTGATTAGAAGTTTGAAAAAAAAATAACAAAAGGCAATGGCAAAAAGTTCTGTATTGTTGCCAAGAAAACTACATCAGTGTATCTATAAAGTCATTTGATGCTGAGCATAGTTTAAAGGAAATCTTAGAAATTTGATGAAAGTCATCCTTGGGAGAAAATTGCTTATTTTAAAAATGTAGCAAATAGTTTAGGAAACAGTGTATTTTTAGAAACTCTGGCTTGTGAACTGCACTGGTACAAACAAAATCTAGCTAACACAATTACTTGCTTAATAACTTTCATAAATAATAAATTGTCTACGTGTTTCCTTCAAATATTCTTAAATATGTAGACAAGCTCTTTCAGATATAGTTTAGTATTTTGTAACAATGAATAAAGAAAGCACTCTATACAGGGAATTCATTTGTTATAAGAACTCAAAAACCTCAAGTAAAAAGCTAAAAAGTTTATTCATTAGGTTATAGCATTTTAGATCAGTGGTTCTCAACCTGTGGGTCGGGACCCCATTTGGGGTCGAACGACCATTTCATGGGGGTCGCCAAACAAGGCTGTCCACCATTTTTCCCCCTTTTCTTTGGCCACGCCCCTGGCACCCGGTGATGTATAAGTGGTTGGGGGTCACCACAACATGGGGAACTGTATTATGGGGTCGCGGCATTAGAAAGGTTGAGAACCACTGTTTTAGATAGTCCTTAGAAATATGTAACTGGCATTACACAAGAATGATATACTAGACTGGGATGAAGGAAACTCGGGTTGAAGTCCTTTCTTGGTGTTAAGCTGTCCAAGTTATTTTAAGCCATTCATCTCAGTATTACTTCACAGGTTGTTGGTTGAAGGATAAAATAAAAAGATAACAGCATAACAGCTTGCACTCATAAGAACAGGTAGAATAAAAAAGTGGATAAAAATCAGTATGACATTTTAAATGTGCCTTATCATAGCTGTTGCTCTTTTTTTATCTGCTTTGAATACAGTTTTAAGGAATGGATGGAAAAGAACTGCAGTATGTATTTCAAGAACTTCACAATGCCTTATCTATCCATGTTTTTCCATATTTTTATTGATCCTTTTGTTTGCCTTTTGGTAAGTTCAGAGCAGATAATTCAGAATGAATAATACAGTAGTGATGCCTTTTCTCTTAAGTTTAGATGAATATTTGCACATATTTACAAGCTGTTCTTCCCATTGCATTAAAAGTACTTATCTGTTAATAAAATTTTGAAGAATTCACAGAAATTCACAATTTTGCCATCCAATATCCATTCATGATAATATTTCCTTGAAGTTATGATCTATTTGGTATAGGCACTGAATTCTGAAATGATACTTCTGGAAAGTTCTTAATCTTCTAAACTCTCTTAAGCACTTTATAGCAACTTTATCTCAAAGTTTTATTGGTTTGTAACCAATAAAGCCAAATATGTGCATTATAGATTTATTTATTTCAAGATATATAAGGCTGCCAAATTTGAGCGGTACACAACAAAATAGTAATTTACAACAACCAATATATAAATACTAAAGCTAAATGTAAAATGGCAATCGAGCACAGGACAAAACAAATCTCAGAGGGGGGACTGCCACTCAACCAACCCCTAACACCTGGAAGAAGAACCAGGGCTCGCCTTAAGTGCTTTCCTAAAGATAAGGAAAGTTGGGGCTGGAACCTGTCGTATAATGGGTATGGGAGTAAGATCATTCCAGAGAGAAGGGACAACTATGGAAAATACATGCTTTCTACATCCCATAAGATTTAAAAAAAAAAAAAAGAACATGGAATGTGCCCTCCCTGTGGAAGCATGTGGGATGGGCAAGTCTTGGGGAAAGGATGTCTCTTAAATACAGTAATCTCTTCCTATACCATTAGGTCTTTTATAGTTTTCCTGGGCTAAGGAGTTTTAAAATAGTTAAAATGCCTTTAGTTCCAAAAAGCTGCCCAGAGTTTTTTGGAAATTGAGTTGTATATAAATAATAGTAATAACTAAATTATTTTCCTACTGAAATATCCACATATAATAGAGGCAGGAACTTCCCTAAACTTTTTTCTAACCAAGCAATTTTCTACATTATTTAAAAGAGAAATCCTTGCCTTTAGAGCAGTGGTTCTCAACCTGTGGGTCGGGACCCCATTTGGGGTCGAATGACCATTTCACGGGGGTCGCCAAACCATGCTGTCCGCCATTTTTTTCCCTTTTCCCTAGCTGTCCTACTCCCTCTTATTGGTGGCCACACCCACTTGGGGGTCACCACAACATGGGGAACTGTATTATGAGGTCACGGCATTAGAAAGGTTGAGAATCACTGCTTTAGAGTCATAATCGCAGAGGTTTAAAACTTTTTTAAAGTTACCATTTTCTTATGACTTCCTAATATGAAAGTAGATGATCTGTCAACAAAGGACCAGAGTCCCATTCCCTCTCTTCTGTAAACTAATGTCATGCTAATCCTGTTTCATTATTCAAGGGAATTTGTTTAGAAAGACTTGTCTTTATGCATCGTTAAATGAGCTGCTGCGTGTTTTTGTATTCCTCTGTGTTTTACAGATATTTTTATTAAATTTAAATGTCATCCATCTCACTGATAGTGTGACTCTGGACAGATTACAAAATGGTAAAAAGATAAATGTAAAAAGAGTTGAAATTAAGACTTAAATAAGACTGGGATCCTTGGTGTTCTGAACTTGGTTGCTTTTCTGCAGATGTTTCATTACCCACATAGGTAACATCAGTGCAATGTTGGATAATGAAGTCTCGGTAAGAAAACCACCAAGAGAGCACCAAGGACCTCCACAGTTAAATCCTGTGCTACAAATTCTTTTCTATTGTTACTTAAATAAGAACTAAAATCTAGGGGGACAGACAGTACAGGGGTGAGATCTTTTCTCTTACGCTGTTAACCACCTCCACCCCCATCAGGGCCTCGAGCTGCTAGCAAAACCAGGTTTTAAGGTCCTTATACCAGGCCAAAAGGGTAGTGGCAAATCTCACCTCCAGTGGCAGAATGTTCCACAGGCATGGGCCATTGTGGAAAGGCTCTTCAAAAATATTAGACAATTCAAGGGATATTTTTACATATAAGCACACATGTCCCACAGTGTCTATCTTACAGTATTAAGAATTCAGTCTATAATCCAGTAGTCCATTGAACATAGTGTTCTGGAAGGGTTCCACAAGCTAAAATACATTGATTACTTTGTGGTTAAGTTTTATATAAACCCAGCCAATGTAATTGGTTTATCATTATAAAACCAATGTAATTGGTTTTGCGCAAACCCCAGCAATTGTATTGGTTAAAACTGTGATTCAACTAATTATAGTTTGACATTAATCACTGTAAATGATCAAGAATTG